GGGGGGGGGGGGGGGGGGGAGATTGAAATCTGGTCAGAAAAAGGAGTCACATGTGTAACCAAGCCACTTTGATTTGATATTTCAGTTTCTTTTTGTTTTGCTAGAAACACGTTCTAAATCTGCTGGAATGAGCCAAGGCAGCAATCCTGTACATAGTTTTTCTGGGAAGAAAGGAATGCAGAAATAACTAGGCCTTCTATCTGAATAAATATCTGCAGGAAAGGATTTTGCCTATCTGCAGTTTCTGGTCCGTTTGGGAGATATTTTACACATGCGCAAAATGGTGGACGAGCTTTTGGGCCTACATAAATTACATTTTTCATGATATTGCTATCATCGGTTGTCGGGCTCACATGGAAGGCCTGTGAATAACAAATACCTCCTGTTCCCATAACATCAAGCTGCATCTCCTCCAGATCCTTACGCCTTTCTAAGATATTGCTATCTTGTATTTAAACAACAACCATGTAGCCCTGAAGGTTCCAGGGGAAGCTTTTCAAGATTGTGGAAGGATCAAAATTCAGGCACTGTGCTATAATATGGGGAAGACAGGTTTCCTGCTTGTAGTTTTCCTGTTTGATCATTTATAAAGTGACCAAGCAGCAAGTCCCATGAAGATCTATTGCTGTACACCATACACAATAACCATGAGTAGAAAAGGGACTAACATAAAATATTGTGGACTAGAAAATGGATTAATGTGAGATATTGTCAATGTTGTTTTTCCAAGAATAACCATTTGTATGGCTTATTAGCATAGCTAGCACAGTGGAATACTTTCTGTTAATGAAAGTAAATAACGTAAATTAAACATTAACTTTATCACCTACTTTTAGAAGTGTTTTTCAGCATTGAGTGAGGGTGACATGAAATAACACCTTCTACCCAACTCTTCCATCTTACGCTTTGGTTCTAACTATTCTATGTGGCTCTATATTCTGGAGTTAATTTTCTCTTTTCAGTCCATTCATCAGATATTGTTAAAAAGGGAAACTCTCTCAGTAGTTTATTTCACTGTAATCAAGATTCTGCTGTTACCTCCATGAGTTTTCCTTGATAGGCCTGCATAAATAAAAACATTGGTCAGTGCTCAGTTTTTATATTTCAAAA